CCAGCCTCTGTTGGGCCTCTGGTGACAGTCGGAAGCGGTGGCTGGAGGCAGTGGCACGGGAATGGCCTGTCTCACCGGCGGCCCAGAGGCGCTCAGGGCTGCACGGTGGCACAGACAGCCAGGAGTGTATGTTTGATCCGTTTTTCTCACCTTAGTTTCTTCTTGGGAGGAGAGAATTCCTCTCCCTCTGTTCAGGGCTCCCCATGTTGTGTTATGTTGAGTTCTAAGTTGACTATCTCATGGAGCCTCTGTAGCAGGCTGTTATCTATCCACCATCTTAGCTCCACCCCAAGTCAGAGATTTTTAAATGAAATAAAATCAAGAGCAAATTTTATACTTCCCATAAAAAAATGCATTTTTGAATACGCAAATAGGTTAAAAATAATGAGAGTAAAGAAGATACCATGCTAATATTAATAAAAATAGACCAGTAGTACCTACAATAATATCAAAGCATACTTCACAATAAAAATATTAACAGACACATATAACCTCTTTTAATAAGCAGGTACATTTATCAAGAGGACAGGAGAATTCTAAATGTTTGTACCTAGTAACAGAACTTTCAAAATATATGGAACAAAAACTGAAGAACTGAAGATAAACAAATCCACAACTACGGTTAAATCCACTCTTTTTTAAATTTTAATTTAATTTAATTTTAAAGAGAATAAAACCAAACAAAACAAGACAGAATAAAGCCAATTGAAACAAAACAATCAGAGCGATACAGGGACTTCAAGACAAGAAAATAGAGAATCAACAATGGCTACCATAATACATCTTGTTATCTTCAAAGTAGTGACCCATACCATCAGACATAATAGAATCTAACAAAACAAAACAATAAAACCAAAGCAAACAAGACAATGAAAACATAGAGAACTTTAAAACAAAACAGTAGGAAATCAACAATGGCTACTACCTTCCCTTTTTAAACATTTCCTCCCCTTTCATCTTCACAATATCTACTGTACATTTTAGACCCCATTAATACTTTCATTTTTTTCTCTAATCTAATCTAATTAATTAATTTTTTGCCTTTTTGAGACAGGGAATTGCTATGTAGTTCAGCTGGCCTTGAGCTCACATTGTAACCCAGACTGGTCTCAAACTCACAATGAGGTAAGAGCCCCTGCTGAGGGCCAGGAGGAGAACCAGCGCTCCTGAGAGCCTACCAGCACGCGGGCTGACAATCGACACCACCCCCTCCACCCCGAAGCTACTGGGAATAGATGTCTCAGCATCTCTTGGGAGGATTATCATATGCAATATAGCAAATATGGGGGATCTACTGTTTGAAGGCAAAGGTTGTTTTCACTGTTTTGTTTTGTTATGTTTGTTTTGCTCTATTCAATATTCTCTTTCAATTGGTTTTATAATGTTCTGCTTTTGGTTTGATTTCGCTATAGCTAACTGACTGGACAGCTATTGTGAAGATAATGAGATATACTATAGTACCTATTACTACCATCCCAGTATCCTGCTGTGAAGTTCTGCACCAATTTCACAGCACTGTCTTGATTGGCTTTGTTCTGTCTTGTTCTGTTGTATTTTTACTACCTTCAAAATAAAATAAAAAACTCGAAATGATCCTCCTGCCTCAGCCTCCTGAGTGCTGGGATGACAGGCGTGTGCCATCACACCCAGCTTTTCTCTGTAATTTAAAAGGGAATAAAACAGCAATCAGTGGGGCAAAACAGTGATAAGATGATAGGAAATCTACAATAGCTACCATACTTTCTCCAAAAAGCTGTTCTGCTTTAGGCTTGCAAAGTCAGTCAAACAATACAGTTCCTCTGAATCAGCTGGTGGTTCATGGGGGTGGGAGGTGCTGTGCTCCTCCCCCAGCCCACCGGGGGCTTAGCTTCCATCGCGGCTCTCTCACATCTGCATTCCACACACTTTTTAAAAAAACAAATATTGCCTTAATTTATTTCAAAACAAAATAAACCTTATTACACCCATCTCATATTAATATAAGCAACAATTTAATAAAAATAACGTTGAAAAAGAAACTATATTAAAAGTATATTAAAAAGAAGAAATTTGATGGGAATTGGGTGCCATTTACATTTTTGCAAGTTTACTTAGTGTAAAATACACACTCTTTAAATAACAGCTAGTCAGTAGTAAAGCAGGCACAAAAACAAAAAAGATACAGTAGATTTGAAGAACCAGTAACATAAGCCAACTTGACCTACCTGACATTTATGGAGCATTCCACAACAAAGCAGAATATATACATTCTTTTCACGTAGACATGGAACGTTTAAAATATTTATACACCATAAAGAAGTCTCAATAAATGCAAAAGCATTGAACTCATGGAAAGTATGTCCTCTGACTATGTAACATTGAATTATAAATCAACAATGGAAGCCAGATAGGTGATACACACCTGAAGTCTTAGCACTTTGGGAGGCTGACACAGGAGGATTGCAAGTCTGAACCATTTGGGAGCAAGTCAGCAAGACACTGTCCCCCCCCCCCCCCAAAATGCAGCTCAGTGTGAAAGCCATGGTTGAAAAAAAAATCTCTGAAAATTTCCAAATATTGGAAAACTAAATAACGTCTCCCTAATTTAACTTTCTTTCTTTTTTTGAGAGAAGGTCTTGCTATGCAGTTCAGGCTGTTTTGATCTTACTAAGTATCCCAGGCTGGCCTCAAACTCGCAGTGATCCTCTTGTATCCCTCCAGAGTGCTGGGATTTCAGGTGTGCACCGCCATGCCCACCCTTATTCCTGTGCCTGGTTAGAGTTTACTATAATCTAGGGCACAAATATACACTGGAGACAGTCATAAGAGAAAGAAAACTTTGTTTCCAGGATAGGATAAGTGCAATTAATAATCACATACGAGTTTGGCATCAAGGTGAAACAGCCCTTGAGACAAACAATCATCATACTGCCAAGGATTTGATGAGGATCCATTCCTGATATTCTAGTCACCTGATTCCTCAGGGTTAGGGTTAGGGTACCTGATTCCTCAAGGGCATTACTCTGGGAAACGGGAAACGCTAACTTTGCAAACATCTGAGTTTTCTCCCTTCCTCACCTGCCTGTGAAGTCTCATTGGTGACCACATCCTCCTTCCCTGAGGGCTCCTGTGAGCACAGGATCACAGCTCAAGCTGTGCATGGGCTGCCTTGCCCCTCTCCTCTCCCATGTGAGCCTGTCAGTCTGTGATGGCCCTGGTCCCCACCCTTCATCATGAGCCCAGTGAATCTGGCTCTGTCTCTTTTGTTCTTCTACTGAAGACTCGTATTCTGAGACTCAGCAACAGCTCTACACCAAGTCATGTGCTCTGTTAGAGTTAAATAGTTTTCCTAAGAGCATCTCAGCAACTTTGAAGAGGAAATTCTCCGGCTTATTTCACCAGGTAGTGTACAGGTATTTGAAAATTGTTAACTACTGAAGGAAAGAAAATGTCCAGGACAACCATCCTATCCATAGGCCGGTTTCCCAAGACAGAGAATTCTACAGGTTAGCAAAGGGCATTTACGTGGGGCTCAAGAAGATGATCTGTCTGCTCTGGCAAATACCCCATGGTTCGTGTTCCTCAGAGGATGATTCAGAGACTGTCTGCTTCAAATCAGCATAGTTTGGGGTTCAGTTATGGACTTCCTGGATCAACTGTCCTACAGTGGAAACCAAGAATCTGTGTACATGGAAGCTTCTCCAGTGAGCCTCAGGCAAGGCATTTCACTAAGAACCATGGGTTCAGTGTGCTAAAATACACACTGAACATTTAAATGTTTAAAAATTTATACCTGGGCATGCTGACCCATGCCTGTAATCCCAGTACTCTAGGAGGCAGAGGTAAAAGGTCTGGAAATTTGAACCCCATCAGGGCACCTTAGCAATTTAGTAAGACCCCCTCCCCCCAATAAATATAAATAAATAGAAAGGCCTGAGGATATAGCTCAGTGCAAAGATCTGAGTTCCATCCTTAGTATCCCATTCTGAGTAAAAGACACACATTCTTATGAATTCACTTCAAAATATTCCCCCTTGTTTTGAATACATTTATTCTGCTGTTCTTGCAACTTTCTGTAGCAGTTCTGGAGTCCTCTTTCATGAGTGTCTTTATAAAGTGAGATTTAAAAATACAGTGCACGCTGCTGTCAAGTGCCAGCCAATGGGACGGCAGCCTCATAAAAATATCTTGGTGTGTCCTCAGCTACCTTATTCACTTACGGCTCTTCTGTGAAGTTATAAAGACCCTGAAAAGTAACGTTTTTGAGCTGATTCAGGACATGGAGGCAGCAGTGACAGCTCAGCCAAAGACATGAAAGAAGACCTCTAGCGGTGCTTCAGGAGTGGCACGAGGGATGGAATAAGTGTGCAAAGTGAGGGGAATATTTTGAGCGTGATTATTGGCAATGTGTCTCTTATGGTAGTACACCGTAATTTTTTTTAAAAATTCGCTGTTTTTTAAAAATCACAGGTTGTGTTATTTGGGATCTTTAAAGCAGTTTAAAGACACTGGGCGCGGGGCTGGGGATTTAGCTCAGGGGCATAAGCGCCTGCCTTGCAAGCAGGTGGCGGTCGTGAGTTAGATCCCTGGTGCCGATAAAAAAAAGTGTAAAAAAAAAAAGACACTGGGAGCTTCCCTACAACCTGCCCCTTATGTGCTCTCCCGCTGCCCTGTTAGGAGGTGAAGCCAGGTGCCAGGCTCATCTCTTGTCTGTTCCTCCCTCATCCACTGGCTGCACGCCTTTGATCTCACACCCACGTGCTTCACTCTACTCCAGCTCCCTAGGGTAGGGCTACCTTTATTTTTTTTTCTATTTTTTATTCATAGGTACAAACTGCAGCCAATTAGAAATGGTGGCTATTACAGCATCCTGTGAAAAATCATCAAAGATACCAGTTTTTCTAGAATCCCTTCCGTAACGAACTGACTATATTCTGAAGAATTCTGAACTTAGTGCAGATGGAAGAAGAGAGATGACAAAGAAAAGAGGAGGAGAAGAGAAAGAGTGGATCTGTTTTTTTTTTTTTTTTTTTTTTTTTTTTGTCTTTTTCGGTATCCCTAGCCCCTGGAAGAGTGGATTTAAGGAAGAGATAAATGTGGAGGCTCTGAGCAGCTGCCTGCTGCATTGTCCACCACTCTTCTCTATCTGTCCCCGTCCTCTACCTCAGTAGAGGCCTCCTGTCTCATCCATGCTTCTGTGAAGTGAAGACACATTCCGACTTTTCTGTTTTTGTCCATTCTTTACTCAGAGAAATACTTGCGAGCACTTAACCTACCTGAAGCCATGAATTAGGAAAAAAGATATGAAGTCACGCCTCAAGAAGTTCTACGCTATTCTTGACTACAGTTCATCTGTGCACTTTCTAGAATCCTATAAGCTATTTCTGCCCCAAGAGTTTTACTGTCATCTCTTTGAAGTTCTGTAACAGGCCTGGAAGCTCAGTTGGCCTTTGACACTAATGTGGCCAATGACATTTGCATTACAAACTTGGTAACTGGGGTTGGGGATTTAGCTCAGCGGTATAAGTGCCTTCCTTGCAAGTGTGCGGTTGTGAGTTCGATCCCTGGTACCGATAAAAATGAAAAAGACAAAAAAAAAAAAAAAAGAATGAGCTCTGAAAGCTGTGTTTGCATCTGCACTCATATTTGGGGTCTCTGTTTTATTAGAACTTGTTAGATCTCCAGGCATTACTAAAACCCTCTTCCTCATCACCAGCCATGGTGTTCTATCAGCAGAAAGAAGGCCTCCAGAATCTTCTCCTGCCTACAGAATTTGGTAATTCTAGAAATTCTGCCCGTAAGATGAACCAGAATCGTCTTCTCTCTTCAATCCTCCCATCATGTTTCACAGGTGTGTTATTTACTCACCATCTGCAGGGCAGGAAGAGGTGGCTCACATCTGCCCTTCTCTGTCCTATCAGTCAGATACTGGCTTCAGGTTCACAGCTGAAAGTCTCAACCAAACAGCACAAGATGCCCAGTTCAGGACCCTGGGGTACCTCAGGGACTTGGGAGGCAGAGGAGCCAATGAGGCCTTCGTCCAGGAGAGGGGCTGACCCTTTCCTGCTGCCCCAACAGCCCCAAGTCCAGCACAAATTCTCTTCCCTGGGAATGGCTGCTGTCCTTCTGAAATATGGGCAGTGATTTCTGCTGGATGACGCTTCTCAGTTTGCTCTCTGGGCCATCTCTCCACTTTTCAGCCCTCATTACCTTTGGGCTCACAGCAGTGCTTGGACCATGCTGGTCTCACAAGTGCAGTTTGATAAGTGAGCCAGTGAGCCCTGTTGGGCTGTCTGCAGGCTGGCTCGGTCATTTTTGCTGAGTAAATGTATCTCTGTCTGAGCTGTTTGGTGATAGGATGGTTGCTAGATTGTGTTGCTATTATTCTTTCATCTCGTTAATCATGTTCGTTTATGTATTAGGTCTGTCTTCCCAATCAGAATAATCTCTGGATCTTTCTCAGTGTGCCAGGCTTTCTTCACATGCATTGCATTAACTCACTGAATTTTAACAAGTTTTAAGATTTGTGGTGTTATCCTTATTGTGCACCTGAGAAAGCTGAAACTCAGAGAGCTGAAGTAACATCAACAGTTCACAGCTGGTTTGCGGTGAAGTCCCAGCTTTTGAAACTTGGCAGTTTGACATCAGGGCCTGGATGCCTGCATAAAATATGCTGTCTCTGGAATATAAACTCTTAAATTTCTGAGAGGGAGGGCACAAAGCTATCCAACAAAAAATAGTGATGATATGCATGTATGGGTGACTATTTTATTATTTAATAGTGTTTTAGGACCCCTGAGAGAACAAATTGCATGTTTCTTTCATATTTTCCATTGTTGCTCAAGTAATGTTTATCAACTAACCAAAGAGCCAACCAGCCAAGTAGAGAAGACCATACACCAAGCCAAATTTCCTCAGTAGGATAACTTCCAAGAGGTTGTCTTAGGGCGGAGTTTAACCCAGTAAGCTCCTAGGTATTCAAACTCACTCCTGGTGGTGACAAAACTGGGTAATTATGGAACTGACAAACCTGAGCCAAGCGATGCAGTTTGAACCCTTGGGTCTCCCCAGAGATCCGACGCCAGAGGCTGTTCTGGTGCGTACACCGTCACCAGACTGGGGAACCTGGTCATGGTCCTCCTGATCCATGGGCGCCACCTGCACACGTCTGTGTACTCCCTCCTGAAGAGCCTGTCTGTCCTGGATTTCTGCTGCTCCTTCCCAGCAGTCCCCCAGACGACTTGGTAAAGAGAAAGGTGATCTCCTGTTATGGCTGCATGGCCCGGATGTTCTTCTATGCAGGCTTTGCCCCCAGAGAGTGCTTTTGAGTCGCTGCCATGGCCTGTGACTGCTCTGCTGCCCTTTGTAATCCGCTGGTCTCTCCTCCTCTCTCCTCGCTCCTCACTCTCCTCCTCCTCCTCCTCCTCCATTGCATCGCCTCGAGTCTGTTTATTCAGTCTGAAGTTCTGTGTTGCTGATGTGGTCACTCACTGTTTCTGCCATGGGCCACCCATTTTGTTCCTGTCTTGTGTGGACACCTCACTCCATGAGAACTTGTTCTCCATTTTTGCAGGTTTCAGCCTTTTGAACTGCACCCTCACCATCTTGGTCTCCTACTTCTTAATCCTCTTCACCATTCTGAGACAGAAATCAGTCCAGGCAGGTCCAACGCGTTTTCCACCTGTGCTTCCCACCTCACCGCTGCCTGCTTCTTCTCTGGTGCAACGCTTTTCATGTATCTGCGCCCAGGCCCAGCTACTCCCTTACCTAGGACCGCGCGGCCACTGTGATCTACACAATGGTCACCCCAGTGCTGAACCCTATAGTCTACTCAGTGAGAAACAAGGATGTGAAGGGTGCTTTAAGAAAGGCGTTGGGCAGAAAAATGGTGCAAGGACCTTTTCCACTCATTGCTGTGCTGTAGGAAAGCCCAGGGACCTTTGCCTTGGGTGTGCTACTCTGAGCAGATTCCCAGCTGGCCCTGTAAGTGCGGCCAGGTCTCTGGTCTCCATGGGATCTCCATCTACCTGCCCAGGGACAGCTGAGACTGTCATGGAGACTAAGAGGTCAGAGGGTGTTTGCTTGTTGTATAACTGCAGCTGCTGAAGGTTTGGTTATGCCTCTGTTCTGATGCTGCGGTTGTATTTCCGAGTTTATTATTACAAGTAGGTACTTATATTCACTAGAAAGTATCCCTTAACTAACCTGAAGACCTTGGCTGCTTGAGGAAACCCTTCCTCCTATTTACAGTCTCCTCTTTGTAAAACTGGCTCCTTAACTTTTTTTTTAGTACCAGGGATCAAACTCATGACCTTGCGTTTGCCAGACAATTGCTTATGTCACGGAGCTAAATCTCCAGCTTGACTCCTTAACTTAAAAACTTTCTTCTTGTTGTTGTACCCAGGATTAAATCCAGGGCCTTGCACATGCTAGGTAAGCACTCTACCACTGAGCTACATCTCACTGCCCCAAACTCTTTTAAAAATTGTTTATTTGAATGGAATTGTAATGATATCGCAGCTTCAGAATTCATGCGGGGCTTTATTACCTTTGCTAACTGTTTGCCTGGTGTGTTGCTGAGAGGCTGCCAGTTGGCTACTTTCAAACTGGCTAAAGTTGGTGAAGTTCTGAATTTTTCTGAATCAGAACCATCTTGCCTTTTAAGAGGCCCTAGGTACTTATTTGCATCTGTGGTTATATTGCCTTACTCTTTCTCATGTTTTTGTTTTCTCTTCCTTAATAACATTTGGCTGGACGTGGTGGGGCAGGTTGAGGCAGGAGGATCACTGTGATTTTGAGGCCAGCCTGAGCTATGTAATGAACTGAAGGCCAGCCTGAACTGCACACTGAAACCCCGTTCAAAAAAAAAAAAACAAAAAAACAAGCTCGGCAGAATTTTAGCAATCTTCGGGACTGGAGATTTAGCTCAGCAGCATAAGCACCTACCTGGCAAGTGGTAGGTCATGAGTTCGATCCCTGGTACAAAAAAAAAAAAGGAATTTTTGCAATATTTTAAAACATTTTGTTTTGAAGTTTTTCCTCCTATGTCTACAATGAACCACTTTCCCATTTTATTATTATTTTTTTAACTTTTTATCAGTACCAGGGATCGAACTCACGACTGCCTGCTTGCAAGGCAGGTGCTTATGCCGCTGAGCTAAATCCCCAGCCCCCCCATCTTATTATTTTCAGGTTTTTCCTATTAATTCCTTCTATTTTGTTTCTTTTGTTTCTGTCAAGTTTTATTAAATACTAAATTTTACAAAAACTTTAAACATATCTATGTATATCTATATGATCTTATTCTTTTTTTTTTATTGGTACCAGGGATCGAACTCATGACCACGTGCTTGCAAGGCAGGCACTTATGCTGCTGAGCTAAATCCCCAGCCCTATATTATCTTATTGATATTTCTAATATGTCTATACTATTATTAATGTACTTACTGCATAATGATTAAACATAAAATGCAAATAATCATAATCTAGGGACAATATCATCAGTCCACCAGGATATGTTCTTGCTTTAGCTTTGGTAGGTTACTTAGTCATATATTTTTCTCTTTGATATTGTTTATTTTATTTTAATTTTTTTATGTTGGTACCAAGGATTGAACTCATGATCTCACACTTGGCAGGCAGGCTCTTGTGCCACTGAGCTAAATCCTTTCAATATTTAGTTTAAAACATTTTTGTATGCTGAAATGAATCCTTTATTTGTTAAATATGTTGCAAATATTTTCACCTTGTTTGGCTGTTAAAAAGTCATTGCATTAGCCAAGAATTTTCTAGAGAAACAAAACAGACAGAATATATATCAGTACACAACAGAATATTGCTTCTCAGAAATACTGCAAGAAAATTTTTAATTTTATTTATTTTTTCTAAAGAACAACAGAGGTTAAGAGTAGAAAAATTTACTGGAGTAAAGGAATGGGGAATAGGGATGGGAAAATGGGGAACAGGAGCAGCTCCAAGAGATAGGAGGGGTCACAAATGGGTTGCCCATGAAAAAAATTTTAAAAGAGGAGTTGGGTCCTAAAATTTGGACTCCGATGTTCTGTGTGAGCTTTGGAAAGTGACTTTTATCTGCATTATTATGTGGGTCACAAAGGCAAGTTGGTCACGAGCTCCTGGAGTTCGAGTTCTGATCTGATGGGAAATTGAGATACACCAACGACAGCAATTACAAAACCGATGTTACCACCAGAAAAGAGGCCGTGCACATGGGAGTGTGATGGAGGAACTGAAGAGAGTAATTGCTGACAGTGAGGTCACCAAAGAGGATGGCGCTTTGTGGCCTCCTCCTGACAGGGCAGGCCGGCAGGAGCCTGAAGTCTTTACTGGAGATGAACACATTTCTTTCACAACATCAAAAATTGGTTCTTATTGATGTTAATCAGTCCGAGGACCCTGAAGGCTTAGAGTATTTTATTATCTTGTCCAGGACCTGAAGTGTTTGGTCTTCAGTCTTATTAGATTACACTTCAAGGTCAAACCAGTTTAGGTTGAATATTGATGTGGACATGAGGGGCGTAGGAATATTTGTTTACCCATTATCAGGAAATTTTTGTGTACATCAAGGCATTTTTTAAATAAACTTTATCTTTAATAAATGTCATAAGGGCTGGGGATTTAGCTCAGTAGCACAGTGCCTGCCTGGCAAGTGCAACGGCCTGAGTTTGAGTCCCAGTACCTAAGAAAAAATTAAAAAGGTAATAAAATCCAGTTTTTGTTATTTTACCAAAAAAAAAAAGAGGATATTTTTTATGGAAACTGGGTCATGTGAGTTTGGAGGTATAGAAATTCCACAATAGACATTTTGTCCTGTGACAGAAACTTGGTCCAAGCAAGGAGACCTGTTCGTGACTATGTTAGAGGCCATTGAAGATGGCAATTTGGAAGAAATGGAAGAGGAAGTACAGCTTAAGAAGAGAAAAAGACAAAGAAATGTGGATAAAGATCCTGTGAAGGAAGATGTAGAGAAAGCTAAGAAGAGGAGAGGCCGCCCTCCAACTGAGAAACTGTCACCAAATCCCCCCAAACTGACAAAACAGATAAACACTATCACTGATACTGTGATCAACTACAAAGATAGCTCAGGACAGCACCTCAGAGAGGTCTTCATTCAGTTACCTTCCAGGAAAGAGTTACCAGAATACTATGAATTAACTAGAAAGCCAGTGGATTTCAAAAAAAATAAAGGAAAGAATTCGTAATCATAAGTACCGGAGCCTGGGTGACTTGCAGAAAGATGTTGTGCTTCTCTGTCACAATGCGCAGACATTCAACTTGGAGGGATCCCAGATCTACGAAGACTCCATCATCTTATAGTCGGTATTTAAGACTGTGTGGCAGAAAATTGCCAAAGAGGGGGCTGGGGATTTAGCTCAGCGGCATAAGCACCTGCCTTGCAAGCAGGCAGTCGTGAGTGAGTTCGATCCCTGGTACCGATAAAAAGACAGAAAAAAAAAAAAAAAAAAAAAAGAAAAAGAGAATTGCCAAAAAGGAGGAAAGTGAGGAGGAGAACAATGAGGAAGAGGAAGAGGAGTCAGAGTCTGAGGCAAAATCTGTTAAGGTGAAAATCAAGCTCAATAAGAGAGATGAGAAAGGTGGGGACAAAGGAAAAGGCAAGAAGAGGCCAAATCGAAGCAAAGCGAAGCTGGTAGTGAGTGATTTTGACAGCGATGAAGAGCAGGATGAACACTAACAGTCAGAAGCAAGAGGGACTGATGACGAGTGATCCCAGTGGAACTGAACACTGTCCTCCTCCCTCTCGTTTCTACCCAGTGAGTTCACTTTGCCATTTGGGCACTGGATCCTTTCTGTGTCCTCCTCCTCCTCCTCATCTTATAAAATAGACTCTTCCTCAACTCTGAGGACATAAATATATTCTCTACAAGCTTTGCCTTCAAATTGTTTTGTTGTCAGTTTGGGATTCAATTTTTTTTTTTTTTCAAAACAGATGTCCCATAGTCCCCAAGCCACTTCTTTGTTATATGATTGGTCCACCACTAAGTGACTTGTGTTTACTGTCTCCGGTAGATCCACTCTTCCAATACATAATTAATACCTTCGTGCTTACCGGTGCAGAGGTGCCTGCCTAAATCCCATCTACTTGGCAGGTTGAGGCACATGAATTGCAAATTCAAAGCAAACCTGGGCAATTTAATGAATTCATTACTCAAATTAAAGGTAAAAAGTCTGGGGACATAGTTAAACATTAGAATGGTAGTGTTAGATTGCCAGTACCACAATGATAACAATGACAGCAACAAAATTTTCACTTTTAGTGTTAGGCACAGTTTTCTACTTTTCATTAACTGATGTTTGTCACTTTGAGCATACAGCATCAATAGTTTATCCTGAGGGCATCAAAACAACCAGCAGTTCTCCACTCTTCTGAGTCTCAAAATTCAAAGATGAAAGACTACTTTGAGAAGACAGCCCCAGAGCACTGTGTTCAAGAACGGTAGCAGTTCGGGGAATTTTTCCCTTTGGTTTGGGTGGGTAACGTAAGAAACAAGGTCCTTTCTATCAAATGATATAATCAGGAGTGCCTCCATCTAAGACTCTAGTCCACCTTAGGCTGCCCCTTCTCCACCCCTTATAAAAGAGTTTGGGAAATCTCTGCTCAGTTTAGATTCCAGGAACCAACTGCCAAAGATAATTTATCAACAGCTAAGGACTTTCATTTCTCCATATTCTCATTGTCTGCTACCTTAGCAACCCTGCTAAGCAACCCTTCTGGCTCTCCCCTAGCTCTAACCAACTGGAGTGGATTGTGAATCTTCAAACCAGCCAATAGAGAAAAGGTCGGATGCTGCTCATAAATTAGGAAATAAAAGGAGCCTATTTTTGCATCTCTGTGCACCTGCTCTCTCATGCTAGCATGTGTTTGCATGCTTCTGCAGAAGTAAAAACCCATGCTGCTCTACTATCTGAAATGACAAATTGAATCTGATGGTAGATTCCCAACAGTAGTGCT